ACAGGTCCGAGGTGCCAAGCCCTCAGACTGCTACAGTAATTCCTTTACGACCGAAGTGAAAGATAAATCCAAAGCCTCCCGTTGAAATAGCTGCATAACAATCTGATTAAGCATACCCGCACTTGATTCCTTATGATGAGCAGCACATCAGGTATGGTGGACGCCCGTGCATCTGAATACTTCTCAATTTCCTGGTCCCGGAATAATCGTTTGAATAGACACGTCAGGCTCCGATTATCTTGCTTGGTATGCCACGTGGGTTCCTCATCGGACCCTATAAATACCCCCCAGGCCACGTCAAAAGGTAATTGAAACCAACCCTAAGCTCTCTTTATCTCCGCCCTAAAGGTAGCCCCGATTATTGATGACTTAAGCATCGGAGTGTCTACCCTGAGTTCCACCTCGGGCCTTTGCAGGTCATCTCGAAGTGCAGACGCGGACTGAAGAAGGACTTCTGGTTTGGTGCAATTACACCCCTTTTTCCTGCTTAGGATGAGATTTGATTCCTGGTAGTTTGATGCAATCATCAAAAGGACTTTACCAACTTAACTAATTGACATCTTCAACCTCCCAGATATGGACAATGCCCCCACCAGCAAATATACCACCTCTTCCCTCAGAAAATGAGCTTCTAGAGGCAGACCAAAACAAGAAAACGGAACTGGATCGGCAAACTAACCAGTATGAGAACATTTCATTTGGGCTTCGGGCTTCCCCTACACATGTTTCTCCATTTATCCTTCTGGTCCACTGAAGTTCGGCAGTTAAGAAACACTGAAGAACCAAGGTCCAGAATTTCCTTCCATGGAATGTTACCACCAGCTGTACTTGAGAACTTGCTTAGTCCCTCCTGCAACAGTAATAAAAACTATTTATTCCCTGAAGGATTATGAGCAAAAATAAATTACTAAGAGAATGAAACAAGCTTAAGTTATATGTAAAATCATGGGTCTAATTTTTTTCCCTTTTTTGGCCCTCAGGTCTAAAAACCACAAATGGGAAAAATCTAAATGTCCAATCTAGCAGCAGCTGGAATCTTAAATTTTCATCTGTTACTCAAGATACAAAGAAAAGAGAAAACACTCTGAAACCAATCTTCTGAGAAAAAAAATGCACAATTAAATTGCAACAGTTCAATATTTAATTCCTAGAACTACAAGCTAGGAATCAATTTATGCAAGAAAGAAAATACCCTAAGCATCTGTTCTTGCTCAATTGTCCATGGAACCTTCTTTCTCTCAACTGTGGAACTGCTAGGTATGTGCTGCAGAAAATGAACATTTTAACACTTAAGATTCATTTCGAATTAAATCAATTGGAAAAATATTTTGCAAAAAAAAAAAAAAAAAAAAGCCTCTGCTTGTTCCAATGAGAAAAAAAAATCATTGGAGAATCATATTAAGGATCCCAAGTGGATGAAAGTAGCCTAATAAAACACACAAGGAAACAACAGAAAGGTTGTGATAATTTAATGGAAAGTTATTCATGTATGGAAAACTTACAGCTTCCTTTGCTACCTTCTGTTGGAATTTTTTGGTGTTCACTCAAACTCACTCTCAGAGGTCCCTCAAGGTCATTGAAGCTCTGATACCATGTTGGAATTTTTGGTCAAAGAAGGAAGGGACTTGGAGGATAAGGGAGACACACAGGAGTTCTCTCAAAATCACTCTCAGAGGTCCCTCAAGATCATTGAAGCTCTGATAGCATGTTGGAATTTTTGGTGAAAGAAGGAAGGGACTTGGAGGAGAAGGGAGACACGGTAGTTCCCTCTTTGGTGAGGTGAAAAGTCCATTTTTTTCATTCATTGTTCTGCTATTATATAGTGAAAAATTCAGTACAAAAACAGTACCTAATACTTATTCATTAAGAGAAAAATCTACAAAACATTTAATGCAAGATTACATTAAAAGTCTTGCTTCCATTTGTGTGGCTCCATGTGGCTGTTCTTGCTGCTACCTTGCAGCCTTCCATTTGCTTTCATTTGCATTACATTTCAGCCTCATTTCACCAACATTTCATCAACATTTTGCAGCATAGGTTGCTGCACTTTGCTGCTACCGTGCTTTGATTGAGCTCTCCCATCTTTTCATTTTGCTGCCACTTGTGCAGCTTTCTTTCCATTTGCTGCCTCTTGTGCAGCTTTGACACCACAGCTCCAACACTTTCTGAATCTTATGGAATAGTTCAATTTAATAACCTCATCATTTTCAGTATCAAAAGTATCCTCTCCATCAAAATTAAAAACAATGGGTTGTTGGTCAGGATTAGTTCTATGTTGTTGTTAAACTTCTTTCGGAATTCCCAGAATTCCTGCTTCAGCTTGCCTCTGATTTAAATGGGCAGCTTCAGTGTTTTGACTGGAATCAGGACCATCTAAAAAAAGCTCGGCCCCTTGTCTTTCAGGCTCTCTCTCAGATAGGCTCTCCTTTACCACCTCTTCTTTGCTTTCCTTTCCCAAAGTTGAGATGCATAATGTCCTTTTGTGAACATTTGTCTCATCTTCAAGACATGGTGTGTTAACATCTCTACATGAATAAGAAGTTGAACAAATAAACTCATCACTTTCAGTATCAGAGATATCCTCTCCATCAAGATCAAGAACAACGGGTTGTTGGTCAGGATTAGTTATATGTTGTCGTAGAACTTCTTTCTGAATTCTTTCTTTATCTTCTCTGTGATTTACTACATGGGTAGTTTCAGTGTTTTCATTGGATGCATTGTCAATGTTGTAGGCAGGGCTGTCTTATAGTTGGGCCCCTTGCTTTTCAGGCTCTCTCTGAGATAGGTTCTCCTTTACCACCTTTTCTTTGCCTTCCTTTCCAACAGTAGTGATGCAGACTGCCCCACTGCAAACATTTGACTCATTTTCCATACATGGTTTGTTGACATCTATACATGATATGGAAGGCCCTGATTGTTGTTCATCGGCTAGATTTCTTTGAAACTGGCAATTAAAAACTCTATTTTGACTTCTTGTATTTTGTTCTCTCTCTTTCAAATGCCCATTCTCCTGCATTCTGATGCAATTTGCCTCATCCTTTATACTTTGTGTACTGGTTTCTCTACACAATGTAGAGGACGCTGGTTGTTGTTTATCAGCTACATAACTTTGACACTGACGACTTAGATCTTGTCTATTTTGATTTCTTGCATTTTGTTCTTTTTCCTTCAAATTGCCACTCTCCTGAATTCTGAGTAAATTTGCCTCATCTCCTACACATGGTGTGTTAACATCTCTGAATGATATTTAGGGCCCTGCTTGTTGTTTATCAATTAGACCGCTTTGAAACTGACAATTATCATCTTCTCTGTCTTGATTTGTTGGATTTTCCTCTTTCCTATGTCCCTCAGTATGTTTAATTGAACAATGCTCAAATACATGAATAAGTGCAGACGGTTTCTTCCTTGCCAAACGGTCTTTTCTTCTTAGCTTCAAGATACTCTGAAATAGAAAGAGAATACAAACAAAAAGGGCAGTGGAAGTTGCCCTTATCATCAAACCTAGCCTGAGAACCCAAGCAACTCTAATGAACCACCAGAGCGCAACCACAGGTACTGCAAAGCAACATCTGACCATCTTTGTTACACTTCACACACACAGTTTGCTTGCTCCAGCCGGCTGTACCCAGTGTATCTTGACTTGATGTGCACTGGGAACTCAAGAAATGACTCTTCTTCAGGGCCATATCAATTCCTTCTTCATGAAATTCGTCCTAATTACTCAACATTCCATCTTCACAAGGATGATAAAAATCAGCTCTGGCTCCCCACAAGGATTACTACTATTTTGTGCTATTCTATCAGTGGAGACAGTATGAGGTGGTTTCAGTTTAGAATTAGAACTCTGACCACCTTTGCCATAGGCTTCTTCAATAGAAATTTGTTGCTGAGTTTTCATCAAGGGGGCACCAGAAAGTAGTTCACCGTTGTGGGTTTCATCCACAGTGACAAATTGAACAGATCCATCTCCTATTTCACAAATGTTGTTGGTATCATGACTATTCTCTATATGATCATCATTACAATGCTCACCCGCCTGAGATTCTTTACACAAGGCAGACCAATCTACTTCAGCAACTCTAAACCTTCCACAAACATCTTCCAAGAAAAGGGGATTTGAAATCTGGCTGACAGTAGGATTAGTACAAGTACTGCCCTGGCAGCCCTGCTTCAGCTTCTTTGCATTTAAGTGAAGAACGTCATGACCAAACAAACTATCTTTGTTACCATTGTTTACATCTGCCAGATCTTCAGCAGTTAACTCACTTCTGAACCTTTTAGAGGATAATAAATTTTTCAAGCATAGATCATGCTGCAGTATTCTGTTACCATTTTCAAGTATTAGAGGGACCACATTACTTTTTGCTGGGACTGTTTGGGCATTACTGCTACTCTCACATAGCCTCGATGTAAGTGCATTATGATGATCATCACAACAGTAACTCCGTCAGGCTCATTATTACTCACCAATCCACTATTTTCCTTTAAAGCAACAGCATATGGATGGGTACCACTGAGAATTGTATCGTTCACCTGTTTAACAAAAAGTAAACCCAAAAAGAGAAAAAAAAAACACATAATATATAAGATGGATGATTATCAATCCCATCATTGTTAACAATAACAAAAATGAAAAGATGAAACTCCCCATTCACCTCCTCCAAAGCACATTTAGGCAAGGTAGCTCTTTTATGCATTGTAAAGGGGTGAAGATCCCATTTCAACAGCTCTGGTCTGGGATTCTTTAAATCTGACACTGATGACTGGCAAAAAGAGATACTTGAAAGTTAAAACTAAACGCCAGAGCAACATCCTAGTTCATACGTACTTAGAAGAGAATGACTGAACTAGAAAAACTGCTTTCTTTCAAGAGAACCAAATTAATTACTAATACATAACAAAATTAAACTTTACTACCTCCTGAAGTATGCATTGAAGTACGTCTTCACAGCTTTGTGAAAGATCAGAACGAACTCTTGAAGCAGGAGTAACAGTACCTGCAAGTCTAACAATAGGACCAAATAACTCGTCTAAACATCTCAGAGCAACCCTTTCCCTTGCATTTTTCCCTGGATCACCTGGTAAGTCTGGAGTCCTTTCAATCAAATCTGGGAGGAAAGGAACAATTAAGCCCTCTATATCTCATTTTGAAATATTCAATTAGAAAAGAAAAAACACTCATTTCTCTATATAATGTATATGAATTTGCCCATACCATTTAAAATATTAGTATCAACTTGCTTGAAGCCTGCCAGATATTCAATGATCCAAAGCCATGGAAGGCTTGAATCAAGAGGCAAGATCTCATTCATTAAAATTACTTCTTTTGTTCTACAAAGTTCCTGCAAGAAACAGATTCATTGACATTGTCTACACTCTAATCCCATCAAGCTGCTTCAGTTCACTAGTGAGTGCTTAATCTATCTACCACTGCAATGCAAGTTGAACAAATTGAATATTCCGGAAAGATAAAAGTAAAGAATAACACCAAAAAATATCCTCACAAATATTCACATCAGTGACAACTGGATAATCAATGTACTCCTTACTACCAGCTTATTTATCCCATTATTTCAAGGAAAATGTCTACAAAGGAAGACATATTACCCACAAACTGAAAAGGCAAACACAAAGAAGAGCATAATGTTTTTAACTCAGTGTATTGACCTCTAAATTATTCAATTGCAAATTCACCTTAAATAACTACCCACTGAATCCTATTAACTTAAGCAGGTCACAATTCTGCAAGAAAAAACACCAACTTGAAAAAGAAAGCGAAAATGTAAAATCTACAAACCAATCGAAGACATAATATAATCGAGACTTATGAAAATCATTCGTTCAGTTCATCCATAACTTTAACCTACCCAAATGCAAATACGAAGAGCTTATAATGGAAGGGAGGGTAAAATATTAGGGTTTCCGTCAAAAATCTGAGAAGCCCTAAATTCCATTTGGCTGCTGAGAGCATTTAGGAAGAGAAAAATGAGAACTTCAGAATCATTTTAGGGGATTCGGAGGCTGGAATGTCCATCTAAAAGTTTAAAAATTTTCTCTGTCACTTGACTTTTCTCAGCAACCAAACGGACCAACAAAGGGTAGTCGATTTGGAAAAACTTTAATACCTTTGAATCTGTAGAAATTCGAAGCATCAAAAGCCCAACGACAAAGTGTGCTAATTTCTGCTACTGTGTTCATTTTGAAAAAGTGCTTTCCTTTTCCCATGGGAAAGAGAACCCCTCTATTATGTGAAAATTGCACATAAGGACCAAAACTTGCAGAAATATTACATAAACTTCCCTCAACTTTTAGGTTATGAATGGCTAGGAGTATATATATATATATATATATATTCAGAGGAAATGACTTTTTTTTTTTTATCAAATCATGCCGTATTTTTAGGATATGTTGACAAATGAATAATCATTTTTACCATCCAAACAGGATGCAAACCATATTTGACTTAACTGCAACTTTTTGTTTTTTATATTAAATTTATATAAAATAATTCGATAAAATTTAATAAATTAACTAAATTTATTAATTTCATAAGTTCATAGGAAAAGCTCTAAATATTACTCCATCCATTCCATAATAAAATTAATTT